CCTACTTCCGTAGTGATACTGCCTCGGAAACCCAAGGAGGGGTCGCTATGAGTCAGGGCCGACTCGACGGCAAATAACAACAACAACAACATAGGCGATTTTGAAGTGCACCCCGCCCAGGCGGAACAGCACCATCCCAAGGCACAGATCATTCCTTCCTTATTCTCTGGACCCAGCTTCAGATTTGTGGTCTCTGCATCGCTCAGTGCTCCCTAACACTCACGAGCACTGCTGTTCAGTCAGCTATAGCATGTTCAACACAATTTTTATTTATAAATATGGGATATTTATAAATATTTATAGAATATCTGCTGTGTGTCACTCACAGTACCAGGTACTGGGGATTCAAAGATAGATAAGCCAGAATCATGTTCTAAGAGAGCCCAGGCTTGTTGGAGGGATAGGCACATGACTAGTTAACTGGTAATATACTGGATGGGAGAATTCTAACCTGGCCCACAGCAGATCAGGGAAGGCTGTTATCCAGTTGCTACCAATGCTGTTTGGAAACAGGGTGATATGTAAACAAAAAGTAAAATTAGCATCATCCAACCTCCATTTCTCCACCCTGGCTAAAACAGTACGAAATTACCAGATGCCCTAGTGAAATCAATGATAGTAAAATTGAAAGTGGAGAGTCTATATAAGGCGCAGATCTACCAGAGAAGGAAAACTTAAATATTTCCAGTAACAGAGAGTGATACTGTACCCTGTCAAAGGCAGAAAACTTGTGAGACCCAGAAAAGCACGGCAGTCCCATCAAACTCTGGCTCTCACAGGTTTCACTGTACATACCGTGACTAGAAACTATCAATTTGAGAATTAAGTCCAGCTGGGCACAACTTGTTCACAGTGAAAACAAATTTCAAACCATGTTTGGTTTTATAGCCTAGAGGAATGACACAAAGATATCAATCCTGATTCCAATAAAGCATGAGCTAACAGCCCAGGTTAGGAGCTCTGGTGGCATAGTGCCTAAGGCACTTGACTGCTAACCAGAAGGCTGGCGGTTCAAACCCACCAGCCACTCCTTGGAAGGAAGATGGGG